CTAACAACCACTTTCCCCCCAATGTCAGTGAGTAAAATTTTTGTGTTATCGTATATAATCTATAAGTATGTAGGTATATTTATACATGTATATTTATGTAATATTTGTTTAATGTATTTACGTATGTATATTTATATAATTATAATGTGCAGTATTTCTTTATTGTATGAGTTGTAATTTTTTTTCACCGCGTAATAAAATTTCTGTTTAGCCAAAGGTTGACTGGGAGAGAATGCTATATAGTATTAAGTCCGCCTTTTGTACGAGACATTTTTTTTGTAATGTGGTCATCAATAAAGAATAAATAAATAAATAAAATGTGATAATTTTCAAACATGAAGAAATCTTAAATCTCTGCCATGTACAGACATAATTTACTTACAATTTTAATACGAGGTCTGTCCGGAAAGTTCGTATAAAAGTGTTCTGGAATGCGAGAAAGAGGAGTGGGGAGGCCAGGTAAGCGCAGGACCCCTTCCTTATGTCCCTAACAATGCTTCAGTTCTGGTCTGACCGCCGTGCGGTGCGAACTGGCTTGTCACGCCATCTGTGAAGTTACCTCTTAACGAAACCCCGTCGGCATGGAGCCCGCTTCCGTTGAAGAGCAGCGCGTCGTAATCAAGTTTCTCTCGAAACTCGGCAAGAATGGCCGTGAAAGCAAAGAGTGGAAGACATCCGGGGAACCACGAACAAAAAAATCAAGAAAATCCCGCTCAAATGTCAAGACAATGTTGATTGTTTTTTTCGATGTTCGGGGGATTGTCCATCAAGAATTCGTCCCTCCAGGCCAGACAGTTGATGGAAAATTCTACGTCGATGTGCTCAGACGCCTCAAAGCTCGTGTGGCACGAGTTCGTCCAGAATTGGCGCGAGAGGGGCGTTGGATTCTTCACCACGACAATGCCCCTGCCCACACCTCTCTTGTTGTCCGTGAGTTTTTGAGTAAAAATTCCATTACGGTGACCGAACACCCCCCCTATTCGCCGGATTTGGCCCCGTGTGACTTCTTCTTGTTCCCAAAAACCAAATTGGTACTTCGGGGGCGGCATTTGGGGGACATAAATGAGATAAAAAAAACTACGACGGGGCAGCTGAGAAACCTACAACCAGAGGACTTTCAAGGAGCCTTCTCACAGTGGAAACGGCGTTGGCACAAGTGCATTATGTCACAGGGGGAGTACTTTGAAGGGGATAAAATTGATTTACCTGAATAATTGTAAAATAAAATTTTTAAAAAACTTTTATACGTACTTTCCGGACAAACCGAGTATGTATGGATCTATTAACATAACAGTGGAATATTGGCGTACTTAGTATGAACGCTACCTACCGTATGTTTATACAGGGTGTCAGTATAAACAATGGTAATAATGAAAGTAATAATTTAGAATCTACAACAGTATTGTATATTCAAATTTCAATGTTATTACGCTTAATATTAAACTAGCTTTTTGCCTGTCACTTCGTACGTGTGGATTTTGAAAGTAGGAAAGTCAGTGTAATATATTACATTTAGAGTTAGATGTTCAGGAAGATATCTATGAAAATCGCATTCAATTTGGTGCAGTAATTTTTGCGTGATGTCGAAACAGATATACAGATAGGTCAAAAATATAAATTTATTTTACATTATTTTTACGATTTTTATGATTCTGGGCGCCATTTTTTAAACCTATTTCTAAAATTAAAAATTCAGTTCGATATTACACCGAAATATTTATTCTAAGGAATGAACTATTTTTTTTTTAATTAAACTATAATTATAACTTCATTTACGACGATCCATAAAATAGTACTATTACGAAACTATATCTATCTTCATACTAAATCCCTTGCAGGTTAAACAGAAATAACCGAGTACCTATGTTCATTTTTACATACATCTCATATTTCATGCATTTTTTAAAATCGTCTCTAAACATATACTGGTATCGGAGATTATTGACTTCTTTAAATAAAACACGATCTATTATAATAATAATAACATTTTTTTTTTTTTTTATACAACTTAGAATGGCAAACAAGCTGACGACCCACCTGATGGAAAGTGGTAACCGTCGCCTATAGACATGAGCAGTACCATGGACATAATAGAGTATACTGTTACGCCCATGATACCCCCCATGCGTTGCCATTCCTGAGGACTCAGGTGTTATTCCTCTGTACCCAGTAAATTCACGCCATATCCCACCCTTCAAACCGAAACACAGTTATGCAAACACAGCTGCTTCACGGTTGAAACACGAATGGGACAGAGGTACCCAAGCAATCGACTTTTGTACAAAGTCTCCCTCTGGCTAACTTGCTAAATACATAGACCTTTCAATAGAAATAAAATCTCCATGGTGGATTCATACGGTCAAAACAGTACCATTACTTTTATTTACAATTGTGATCGTGTGGTGTGATCCCAAAAGTCTTACACACAAGCCTTAATACACTATAACTACATATATACTTCTCCATGTCGTCTAATTCGTAAATTGGCGTGAATATACTGGGTACAGAGGAATAACACCTGAGTCCTCAGGAATGGCAACGCATAGGGGGTATCATGGGCGAAACAGTATACTCTGTTATGTCCATGGTACTGCTCATGTCTATAGGCGACGGTTACCACTTTCCATCAGGTGGGCCGTCAGCTTGTTTGCCATTCTAAGTTGTAAAAAAAAAACAAAACAGTAAGCAAACATCACTATACATGGTACAGATATTCGCAAAAATGCAACCTATTGTTTGTAAAAAAGGTGTCCAGTATTGTGCAGTAGTCGTCGGGCTACAGCGCTGATTTTTAGCAGGGGTCTCCGGGTACATTCATAAATTGAACCACTACATCATGGCTGTAACTAGGGGAGGGAGGGCATTAAGGGGCAATGCCCTACCTTAAAAGTCTCAATGTCCTACTTTAAAATAAACGGTTCCAAGAAAATTAGATTCGTTTTTTAAAGTCTCTTAATTATGGCTTCTGCCCTACCAAAAAGTTCTTTTGCCTTAACTTAAACTTGGGTCTAAATTCAAATTTAAACCATCTTTATTCAAATAGACTTCTTTGCAAGCACTTTTAAATCGTAATTTTTTTTTAAATCTACTGCAGGTTTCGGAAATGTGTTAACTGTTAAGAAGAGTCCACAAGGAACAACAGATACTCTTTTAAATCTCTGTTAATATTATGTGTATTTATTTAAATAAACTATGTTTAAAATTACTATCTACAGCCCTGCACTACTTGAAATAGTACACTGATAGTTTTACATTGACTTATGATCGCCAGTTACAAATAAATTGCGATCTATCAATTATTAATTTCTCGAAATTATTAAATTGAAACATTAGGTTAAAAGATAGCTTTAGAGAAAGGCGCTTCAGAATCGACCCCAGTGTATATTTGATGGAGTCGACGCACAAGCAACAAAGGCGTCCGTGATTTCAAATATTCATGAGCGGCCTTCAAGATCCCACATGAGACTTCGGCTTCCTCTAAATTCTGCCTATGAATATACGAAATTTACCAGTCAATTATATTACGCCGGGAATAAATAGTAGAAATGAATGAGGGACAAATTTGCCTCATTATCAAATATCGTTTGTAATTTTATCGAAGGTACGGACTAAGTCGTGGAATAAAGCTTTTAGTTTATGAACTGAAAAAAAAATGAATGAAAGCACATTGCTACATTCTATTCTATCATATCCTATTCTACTTTAGCCTATCCTATCCTATTCTATCATTAATCCACGATGTCCCATCTAATCCTTTTCTAAGGGGGGGGGGGGAGGGTTGTTAATAATGCGGACTACCAGTTTCATTGTTAGCAATATGCCCAAAAAGGTCCATCATGGGAACCGTCATGCTGAATTCCAAGTGAATTCCAAGTTCATCACGATAGGCGAATTGACCTGCTTTTTCATTCTCATCTATCATCTCTCACTGGTGCCCCGCCAGTATATACCGATAGCGCGGACGGGGTTACCATTCCATTATCATCCATTAAAATAAAATCCTTTTCTAAAATTTTCTGTCCTGCGCTATCTTAAACCACTCTAAGATACTGCTTTCTACACTACTTCTTTTTTTAATTTTTGCGGGCAGTTATATACAGTTTGTATATAACAAATGAGTTTCATGGATCGATGGTTTTCTATTTCAACTTGCAAGGTTGTCAGCTCAAGTCGGGCGGACATTAAAGTCTTTGTATCCATTTAAGTTTCTAACTCTCCAAACCCAATTAATCTGAGAGGCGGTAAGGTCACCGTCTGCCGTTTTGGATTAAATTATGTTTTTTGGGCAAAATAGTGTTACGTTCACCATAATGGCAACTATTACCATAATGGCTCTGACTATTTGTACCTGTGATCAGTGTCATTTTTATCACTGTACTATAGATAATATTCATTGACGTGGATATATTGTGTTACTTTACGTAAACGAAGTCTCTGGTTCGATTCCCATTCAAGCCAATTTAGGATACGAACTTTTCTGTATTGGCTCGAGTCTGCTTGTTTTGAGTAGCGGTGGGTAATATAATATATAGTAAAATCTAGTTAGAATATATATTGATCCGATAACGAATATGTTAATCTAATTCAAATCTAAAAAAAAAAATAACAACAGACAATAGAATAATAACTTTTAACATATTTAAAAAAAGATATCCAACCGGTAAGTGATGATGACCTTTTTTCCGACATTATTGTCCAGAGGAATCCAATATTTCATATCCGGCTGTTTCGCCGTGTTCGACGGTGAATGCGGCGAAACAGTGCTGAACGCTCTTCTATAGCATTCGCATGATAAATACACATTACAATATATAAAATACATACACCTCATTTTATATTGAGTTGCCGCGAAAGCAGAATAGATGCGGAAAGCTGAATGGATGTGTACACGTCACCATACAAAATCATTGTTTTCTATGGATAAAAGCTGAATAGAGCTAAATAAGTGTGAGTAGTCCCTTATTATTATAAAAAAAGTAAAAAAAAAAAACAACACTGACCTGACTTTTTGGCACTGTTTCCCTTTCCGCCATTTTTGTTTCTTCTCGGGTAGAGATTTATTTTGCTCTGACCACACCCCATCACAACTGTTATTCATCCATCGTCATCACCCGCGAGCGTCACGTCACGTGTTCACCTAATTTATCACTGAACTCACTCTTTCGACATCGCAACTTTTAATGTTAAAATCTATTGTATCCGTATGATTCCGTTATGTTATGTTAACTCTATATTTTAATATGAAACGTCTGCTTGCGATATTTGTCGACACTGCCATTTCATTTTATATTTTTTTGTTTGTTTCTCTTCAATAGCGTTTCGACAGCGTTGCGTTGGCTGCATGTTTTGTTTTCTGTAAAGAGATATTTTTATATTAGGTTTAGAAATAAATATGTATATAAATCAAATATTATAAATGTGAAAGTGTGTTTGTTTGTTACCTCTGGACCCTTTAACGGCTCTACAAGTCGTTATAAGATATGGTGTATATATATATATATATAGCAAAGATAAACTTATCTCTAAAAAAGATTTCTTCCAGTCAACTTAACACACACTGGCATAGGAAGTAATGAGTGGGCAATAGTAGTGCTGAACAGAAATTTAAATAAATATTTACATAAATATATGTACAGAATGGAGAAAAACTTAAGCTATTTTGTATCATTTATAACAAAATAAATCCGTTAAGTAGTGTTAAGTTTTTTCATTTATTTATTAATTTATGTTTTTGTATATACACTTTTAATATAGAAGTTAGGTTATAACAAAAATGTACACAGGCGGATTTAAAGAGATGTCTTCCAGTCATCCTTGCGAAACCGAAAGGAAAAAGTATTAATAGGGTTTTTATATAAAGTATAACATATATGGTTTAAAAATAATATGATATACATTGTCCATTATTGATAAACATATAAAAAATGGGGGAGACTTATGTCCAGCAGTGGACAGATAATGTCTGAAATGAGATGATGATACAAAAAAAAACAGTCAAAGCTTTCCTTTTTATAATATTAGTTTTTAATAATTCTATTAGTAATTATAATATTAAAATTCGTGTAATTTTAAAATTAATAAATAAAATTCAAATGTATTTTCAACACATACCCTGAAAATGATTCTATTACTAACATAAACATATGTTTATGTTACTAACTACCATGTCAGTACATAGGTACATGTATGGTATAATAAAATCAGAAATAAGATTTCGTAACCTTGACCTCTACACGATCCAGCTTCACAGTCTCCGGACAACTACAGCCGGGTTCTCAAGGTCAATGTCAATGTGGGGATCACATATCTACACGAGAAATGTAAGCAGATTGGGATTACATTTTTTTTTTTGCGATTCACAGAATAAGTGTTGATTGACGGTAATTTATCTAGATACTAGTTTTTTAGCCGTGGTTTACCCGTAATTATTGAGTAAGCAGGATAGAAAGTAGTCTATATGTAATTAAAAATTGTGTTGGCAATTCAACATAATTTATATGCTGGTGGGACACTATTGAGACATTTTAGACAAGGATGAAACCAAGTTAGCTCATCGTGATGAATTCATCAAAAATTAACCACTATGGTTTGGTTGGAAGTCGCTTTGGCAGGATATTGCTAGCAATGATGACGTTAGTTTCAGTACTGTCCGCTACGAAAAGATATGGTATTGGGTATTTACGCCACTTTTATCCTGATTAATATAATCCTCGAACGAAATCGCAGACACGATTGAACAGAACGGAACAAGATAAGATAGGATAGGATAGGACAGAACAGGACGTGATGGGACAGAACGATCCTTACTGAATATTCGTCATGATCATTGCGATGTACTCATTAAAGCTTAGACTGCAAGCCCCCCGCTCCAGCCACTCCTGAGAGATGACGTTCGGGCAGGTGATCGTGCGAGTCGCATTGTAACATAATATTGTTTATTATTTCCTACACCTACCTCCCATACCAGGAGGACAGCACAATCATTATATCAGCCGTTAATTGAACACTGTTGATCATACGTTTCCCCCATAAGCGTGGTTTTGCCAGTAGCTACCACGCTTGTCAGACGGACTGGCAACCAAAGTTAGGATTTAGCGATGTTTTAGGAAGAACGTTATTCTCCACCCTCAATCATTTAATATTACTAAATATTGTAAATGTGAAATCAAGATTGTTCTTAGCACTTCAACGGCTCGATCAATCTTTACGAAATTAGGTGCACATTTCTATTTGGGATAAAGCAGGATGTAGGCTACTTTTTGTTCCAGTTAACCAATATAACCCAGTAATGCGAACGAAGTAGCGGATACAACTAGTATTAAATATTCTTGGACAATGTACTTGTAAAATAGACTATGACGCAATACTCCGGGCATATGAAGGGGTGAGGTTTGTTTTGACAGAGAGATGAAGAATGGGGTTCCGTGTATGTCTGACGGCCGTCTACATTTATTTACCCGAGTCTGTGTAGTGAGTTTAACACAGACATACGTTACGTTAGTGTTTATGTTGAAAATGTATTGTTTACGCAATATTATATGCTTCAACATGTCTTAATCTCATTTTTATATTCGGTTCAATTAATGATAATTTATTCTTAATACGCAGTATCTTAGTTTCTAATAAAAAATAAATAAGTAAAAAATGTAACTAGGATTGTCTATGATTCAAGCTCTCTTTCGACTGCGTTTGAAAGAGCAAACGTGTCTCTTTGATTGTCCTATCATTATTCAGTAGATTATGAAGATAAAATGCACTTTGATATTGTAATTGACAGTGAGTTACAAGAAATAAATCAACAAGTACATTCAGTAATTTTTAATTTAAGTCATGTAAACACAACTGCTTCACGGTAGAAACACGAACGGGGCAGAGGTACCCAAGAAAACGATTTTTGTACAAAGTCTCCCACGATGTTTAAATTTGTTACCGTTTCAATAATAAATTCAAAACACTTTGGTTACTTTTTGAAAGAAATTATAAATATATCTATAGATGTAAAGAGTGAGCCTAGTAGTCTGAAGTTATGGGTTATTATGGAATAACTGTTTAACTAAAACAACTTATCCATAACTTGAACGATAGATAATAAACAATACACAAAGTGTAAACATATGGTACGTTGAACACTAACCTGATGAAGGTGAAGGTATTTATAAAATGAAGAAACGATGCTTCCGTTGCTGTTATGCTTGAACGGAATGTAATAGACACACAAACAGTAATATGAAAAGTCATAACAATAATTCACGTTTGATCTCAGCAACACGAATTCGTGCGGGTTTAATTTAAATAAATTGTTTTATTTCGCGTCTTTGAATTTAATAACGATAGAATAAGAAATAATCTTTATATAAATAAACTTGTAAGCGAGTATTTTCAACCGACTTCAAAAAGAAGGAGTCTCGGTTTTCGGTTCGGTTTGTATTTTTTTTTTATGTTTGTTACATCAAAAATCCGTCAGTTATAATTCGATTTGGATTTTTTTATCTGAAAGAGTATATTTTACATTGTCCTTATAGAAATTTTAATTAAATTAATTCAGTAGTTTAGTATTTAAATAAAAATAACTTATTTTATTATTTATATTATTATAAAATTGTTTTTTATGTATTCGAATTTACTTGGCGGCTGGATTAATTTCATTTTGGATTTATTTTACCTGCTTAATTATTTCAGTATGTTTATACTGTAATAATTAAAAATGTTATAAAATCCAATAACAGTTTCTACTATCTACCTATATCCAGCCTGCCATCTTAGTGCTTGTTCTTTTTTAACTGACTTCTTGTTTTATTTTTACTTTTTTTTTGTAATTTAATATAGAGTTAAGGAGTACCTAAATAATGCTTTATTTCTTCTATATGCATAATATGTCTGTCTATAGATTATTTATTTATTTATTCTTTATTGTACACAAAAAATTACAACATATAATATATATAAAATAAAGATGTACAACAGGCGAGCTTAACTCTGTAAGAGTTCTCTTCCAGCAAACCCTGAGTGGAAAGGAGCATTAATTACCAGTGGGCAGTATGCGCACAATAATTAAACGGTGAAATTGGCATTATTTTTAAATTGTGATTTAAACATTTTTTAACATTAAATTTGAATTTTTGTGTATAAATACACATATTGTCCCGAAAACTTCATATAAAATTAACAATATCTGCATTGATAGGTGGTAGGTATTGCTATAAATGGTTAATAAATGTTAATGTTAACACTAATAAGTTTTATCGTTTTTTTTATGAACATCAAGCGAACAAGGTTACTGGCAGCAACAGGTGGTGGAATTTACACAGTGCGACTTTAATGACGTTTTAATTCTTTTTTATTTGACAGGTTCCGGCCGTAGGCACGCAATGAAATGTAAACGAATCCTAGAATTCGTTGTAAAACACATCGACCTAATTTGTCTGGGAAAAGGGGCAGAAAGTAAATAGGTGTGGGCAATATCGCTTATGTGCGATATTATTTTTTTAATTGTTAAAAAAAAAAGAATAGTAACCCCGCCTGCGCTATCGGTATACGATGACTGGGCACCAGTGAAAGATGATAGGCGAGCCCCAAAAACGGGTCAACTTTTTGTCAGCTAATTGTCAAATTAGCTGACAATGTATCTTGACGTATTATTTAATATTAGTTACGCGTAGTATTTACGCATTAAAAAGATGCAGAAATTATAACACAAAATAAATATAGAAGTCATAAAGGTATCACCCATGATTATTTATCTCGCAAAATTCTATGAAAAAGTTGACGCGTTTTTCTCGAAGCATTTGTATCTCAATATAAATGCTTCGAGAGAAACGGGTCAACTTAGCTTACTTACTTTGGATTATAAAATCTAAGGTATAACCATATAATATCTAATATATAGTAATCTTGACAATTAATACAATTATCCGATATTAGGCCAATATATAGATACTCTACATATGAGATGTCACATCCTTCTCTAAAACACAACCCGATTTTAAGTGCTCAAAGCTGGTCCCTTTAAGTGGTTTGTATTTTAGGCACATCCTTCCTCTGTCGTTTCTTATTAGGTCAACATAAAACCAGAGGCCATTATCAAAGTCCGTAACGGAGTAGCTAGATACTGTAGCAATGTACGAGAGGTGATCGTGGAAAAGGCTTCCGTTTGATGACTTAGACCGTTCGTAAATTGTCTTTCATTATTTTTATGGATGTCTTATGTTCAAATAGCCTTCTTTATTGCTTTTCTGACTCATATTATGGCATCTAGCGTAGTTGTTACTTGGTAGAAAACTGTATTTGACCCTTTCTAATCGACTATCGGTTATTTCACTTCATCTGTATATTCTGTTTATTATTATTATTGTA